TTAGACTAAAAATTCACCTGGGGAAAGTGTATTTTCAGTGTTCTAGATCTATTTTCTATTAGAGCAATAAGTAATTCAGTTTTAAATTAAACTTTATAAAAACTTTAAAATATATGAAAATTTTTTGGGTTGGTTGCTTATGCATTTTTTTTTTTTTTTTTTTTTTTTTTAAATAATGCTTTTAATGATACAAGTCCTACTATTTAACCCATAGCTGGGGATAGAAAAGGTGAATTCATACCTTTCACCAAAGGTATTGGCACATGAGTAAATATAACAAATTCAACTAGAATTAACTATTCCAAGCCATTCTACATTACACCACCCATACATCTAAGCTTACAGTACCTAGTATTCCAAAGCTGTCATCCATCTAGCTATTGACCAGGTTTGATGATATTTAACTTTGGTGATCATACTAGAACCATGTTTCAGTATGAGGTGGCCATAAGCCAAAAATTGTGTGTATACATGAAGTATGAGTAAATTTATGTAAACAGAAGATATTATGAACTAGTATTAAATCTGATACAATGGTGTATTTATACTTACTAAAGCAGTCATTGTGCCAGGTTGCAAATCTAGTAATGTCATCTAGTTAAAAACCAAAGTAGGAAATAAGACATTTTAAAAGCCCAAGAACAACAAACATTTTTATACAAAGGGTGTTACCAAGCTGTTTGAAAGTAATGATTCATTTGTGAGACCCTCTTGTATAGAGAGCATATCAGTAGTGAGAATTCTGTCAGTACAGTCAAAGATTTGTGTGTATATGTCTACACATGTAGGTGGAGACACAGAAACAGATCTGCTTAAATGAAGCCAAAATATGTATTCACATATAAAGAATTGTAACTGAGATTAAGGCCTTATGTTAAGTACAAAAACCTGAGCTCTCAAGATACATTGCCATTAAAATATATTCATTTCACTTTCCTTCTATTACATTTGTACTTATAGCTCCAAATTAGCCTCTCAAAGGGCCTAATTTACATATACCACAATAGATTCGAAGCCTTTTAATAAGTTCTTATAGGGATTGTATCCTTCATTTAGCAATTTCTGAAAATAACTGGAGAATTTGAATAGACAATATTATTTCCAGTCAAACTAACATCCTCATCTTTGGTTTTTAATTTGAAATTATCTGAAGTTTACCTGGATTGACAGACATCTGAAGAAGCTGGAGGGTATAACTATTGAAAGGTTTTGATAACAAAAATGAAGACATTTTGAAATGAAGAGTTATTTACATTTAAACTACTGTCCTTATCTTTATTGTTATTATCACAACATTTTAGTCATTGTATCCCCCAACCTTTTTCAGGTGCTTATCAATTCGGGTAACTTTCAGCAAGGAATTTCAAACTGAACACTTTATTTAATCTATATTGAAAGATTGTTCTCATTCCGCTGTCCATGTCTAGGGATATCTCATCTTGTTCTTATTTAGCATTACTTAGTCTATCCTACCCATCCCAAGAATTGAACATGTAATTACCGTCATCAAATTCATGAACCAAAATTTGACGTGCCAGAAGGCCTGAGGGTACAATGACCAAAATGTTGTGATAATGACAACAAAGATGAAGACAACAGTCCAATTGTAAATATGTTGAATATTGTTTCTCAATTTTTGCTTGACTGGAATCCAGTATATTAAAGCTTTGTCATCAAATGTAAATTTATATTGTAACAATTAAAGATAGTTTTCAGGACAGTTTTCTTAATTTCTCCAATGAAAGGTTTTAGTATATTTTAGGGAAGATGAGAACACTGGACCACTTATTAATCGGAGTAACAATTTCCACTTTGGAATCATCATGACTCTGACTAGATTATTCTATAGGTTGCAGCCTAGGGCCCTTCAAGTTTGCTGATAATGCTGGTTATAAAAATTCTCTTTCTTTTTTTTTTTTTTTTTTTTACTACAGTTGAAATGTGTGCTTTTTTGTTTGCAATAAATAATAAAACAATTGTATTTCTGTAAAAATATTGACAAACAAAAGATAGCTGATAGCTATTCTAGTTTGAAGATAAATTTACTTCAAACTGTAAATCTCACTAAAATTTTATTGCAAGTAAAAAAAAAAAAAAAAAAAAAAAAAATACAAAACTTAGACTGGTGCAGGCGAATTAGAGGTTGACTCCATGATTTCATTAGCCTAGGGGGTCTCAATAGGTTATTCTGGTCCTGTCAAAACTACATCACTTTGATGACAACTTTTATGCTATTTTTACTTAAATAAATGAATATTCAAAAATGGTAGTGAATATAATATTGTCTCATTGCCCAGTTTGAATTTCCTTATTTTAATTTCTATTGGGTTTTGTGTTGGTGAGGATCATGTGAATGTATTTTGTTACTGGATTCTGCCTCCAAATAAAGACCTTTGCCCAAGCTCTATCTTTGAATTGGTGACTACCATCAATTATTGATAACTAATCTCTGGCTAAACCACTTGTCTGTCTCGGATTGTATACAAGACAAGATATTTGGCTGATGATCAATGGTTTTTCTTTAGCTAGCCACTGGTGCATTCTCCAACAGTAAACTAATTTCCACTTCCTATGCTGCAGCTGCTACTGCTTGATACCTTGACCTGTTTTTTATAGGACTTGTTTCACTTGTCACACCCCACTTATCATATTTGCTTCGCTGTACCCTCTTACTATCCCTATAATAGTATAGCTCGTTTTTTGGGACAGCTCACCTAATTGCTAACATATGAAACGCTTTTCTGAAATTTGCTTTCTTCAGTTTTACCCAGTTTCTTATTGCTTATATGCATTATTACTTTTTTTTTCTCAAAATTTGTGAGATTTAAATGTTGCATCCCCCTACAGATTCTCTATAGCAATATTATATGCATATTTTGTCAAAACATTTCCATTAAATGATATTAGCCATTTCCTTGTAAGGAAATGTTCAACATTCATTGACTCAGCAGCTAGTGCAACTAGTTATGCTTTTCTTCACTCCCTGGTCATTAGACTCTGATCAAAGTGTAGTATCTGTTCTTATCACATGTAATGGTAATATTAGCCATTTCCATCTAAGGAAACATTTAGCATTCACTGATCAAGTAGCCAGTGCTACTTTCACTTGAAATTTATAAAATCTTAAAACAGTTTTTAAGGAAAATAGGTTTTCTCAAGTCCTCTGTTATCCCTTTCCAATGTTGAGAGGGAGGGAGGGGTGTCTTCCTTCTTTTACCTTTTGTTTGAAGTAATGTAGAACATCAACACTTTGATATGTCATTATTTTTTTTTTTTTTTTTTTTTTTTTTTTTTTTGAGTTACATGTGATGTCCGTTTTAGTTGTCAATGTTGTTGAGTCTTCAAGTGATGTGGCTTCTAAAAATAAATAAAATAAAATATTAACCCAATAATGAAGACATTTTATTAAGTTGTTGCTAGAAGATTGGTAGTTGTCATTTTTGTGAAAATAAAAACCGACAACTTTAGAAACCCAATGGTGGTTTTGATGTTCCTGGGTATTTCTCCACCTCCCCATGAGGGCAGAATATAAAATAATCTGAAGTTGATTGCACAGCTTCCAGAATACTTCTCTTTAGGACTTCTCAGGCATCTGGGATTAACTCTGACCTTACCTCTTTTGATGAAATGAGAAGGTGCTACCTAGGATGACAGCCACCTGGAGCTGAACTATTATATTCTATTACCTGAGGTCTTGCCAAAGCCAAGGATGTAGGCTACTCCTTTGTATTGACCATAAACATATCCCTGAATCATTTTGCTCTCTAAACAATCTTGACAGTTTGGTACCACATCTTTGGTTGATTCTAGTTTAATAATGAATTTATTTTACATGGAATTTTCCAAAAAATAATTCTGAAATCACTTTTTTCAAGTGTTAAAAAATTAAATAGATAATATAGTAAAGATTAAAGGTTATTTTTGTCTGTATTAAGACACAGATGGATGATTATCAAGCCCCAACTAAGATTAAAATAACCATTCTTTGTTTCTTTTTTAAACATTTTAAAAAAAAAAAACAAAAAAAAAAACTGCTACAGAAACATGAAGATAATTTCTTAAAATGCCTGTCTCCTCAGCAAGTAGTTGCTTATACATCCCCAATTCTTAATTATAGTATGTTCTCTCCTCTTAGCTGTGCTGTGCATAGTTGTGTAAGACATGCTTAACATTTAAGTTGACCAGTTAGAGGTAAAAATACTTCTAACCAAAATTGGTATGTTTTAATTTTTTGCTTTATTTTGACTTACACTTGAAGCTGGATCCTTTCTTAATTTACCATCTTGCAAAATGCTTTTATGATTTCCAAATAATATAGGATTTAAAGAGTAATATTCAGATAAATTTAAATGGCTTTTTATTATATAAAATGTGAAAGAAATATGACGAGTATATAATAGTACATATACTGGTAAGAATTTGTGCATATTTTGGGGACAATAGCTTCAGGGGACTTTCTTTCTTTCTTTTTTTTTTTTTTCCTTCCAAAGTTTTGAATTGAAAACAAAAGCTGAAAAATGTGATGAGGAAATCATAACAGCCTCCTCAGTATAACTCCTGCATATTCAAGGTCATATATAAACTTTAACATTGGTATAATTTATGGTTGGCATTCAATATAAAAATTATACTTATTTTATTTACATTTGGACTAAATGTCCTCATTTTTCTATCTTGAGGAATTTTACAATTAATAATTGTGCTTTTTTTTTCTTACTGGTTTGTTTCAGGTTATAGATCAACATTTAAGTATATTTTTTTTTTTTTTTTTTTTTTTTTTATTGCAAAACTGAAAATATAAAAAAAAATTAATGTGAAAATGGTTTGAATGAGTTTTGATTGAAATTTTGTGCATAAAGAGTTTGACAGTGTTCAAGAATTTCACAAGATAAATTTACCTTGAATATTGCTTATAGCCTTCAAAAGTATACATATTTAGGAATACCAATGAACCTAAAGTGCCACTAGGCACTAAATGTCTTTATCTTGTACAATTTCAGGTCAAACTTGGGCAAGATGCAGCACCTCTCCCCTCCCCTGCCCTGGCAGGCCTGGGAGGGGGTGTGGACCTTGGGCATCATGGGGTGAGGAGAAAAACTTTTTGTGCTCAATCTTTGGTCTGAATTCTTTTAATAATCTGTACCATTAAAATCATTTGTTAACCAGTCTTTTTAAATTAAAGAGTTTTAAAATATGATGGCATAAGATTCCAATTTGAACTTGTTTATTCAAATCCCTTTCCTCTTTTTATTCCAGTATATTGATCTTCTGGGAGAAACTTGTTCAGCTACAAATACTCTAAGCTTTTTAATTGACACTTTGAGTTTAGACTCCTCAAAGTGCATGAGCAATTTGAGATATTGGTATAAAGCATGTTTTAATATGAAATCTAGTTAAGCTGTCTAGACTTCCATACCCTGTTCGGCTCTTTAGAGTCTACCTAGGAAAAAGTCCTTCCTGTACAATCAAAATAGTGGGCCAGTATTAGTCATGATTTGTTTTTAAATGTCTTTGTACCTATTGCACTATCAGTCATGTTAGGAAATCTGTTGATCTTGTTCTTGATCAAATGGTCATTAATGTGGTGGCTGGTTGAAGATTTATATTATTAGGGTTGGGAAACAGTTTAGGAGCACATGAACGATCCAGCTAGATGTGGGGGGGGGGAAATTTGGGTGAATAAAGGAAGACAGAGGCTAAGAAGACAAGTTTGTTGTTTGGAGGGAGTTGCAAAAAAAAAAAAGGCATGGGTTTGGCTATGTAATTAAAAGAAAATTCCAATTTTAGTTTTTGAGTTAATTATAAACTATGAAATCTCTCTGTCTGTAACATTAGCTGGTTTTTCTCAACATATCTGATCTTTATCCCTGTACAAAATTTGGTTTACTGTTTTTATTTGGTGCATATAAATTAAGGTTTCTTTTCAATACTATAAGAATGAGGGTAACCGAAGAACCTGCTTATAGGTTATAATTAATATTCAATTTTCTCATTTTGAACATTAATGGAATTGGTCTTTTCTGCTTAACTACAACTGAGACTGATATTTACCTGCATACTTTGTTGTACAATTGTCTGATAAGCTACTTAAAATAGCTATTACTCTGTATTCTAGTTGTTACAAAAAAGATACTGGAAAAACTATGAAGTCTTTACTATTTTTGAATCAAATATGTAACTACATGTAATATTTCAAATTGTTGGACCACTTGCTATATCTTGAAGTACTTCATAAGGAATTAACTCTGTCTATCACTGACTTTAAGTAGCAGTGCTTATCTAATTGAAAACAAAGATTTCTATAAATCTCTAAATTGTTTAAATAATTTCCCTTTTTCTTTTGAATATCATACTTTTGGTTATGCTTAATAGATTTCAGCATTATACAAATATCTCACCAAATGAAAAATTTATGGAAATGTACTTGTTGGCATGCTGATCTTGTAGCTATGTCCCTGCTTAATGTTCATACAACTTTGGTGTCTGGTTTAAATTCAATGTTTTTTGGGTTTTTTTTTCTTCTATGAAGCACAACTGTTTACTTCTTGGTTAAATCTCATTCAAATAAGTTAAAATATACATTGTATGGTTCTTTTATCTTAAATGAAAAATGCAGACAAATTTTTTTTTTCTTTCATGTACTTTGTCTATTCAGAATGTGGATGATCATGACTACAATTTTCTATACATTGTAGCTCTTAGCAATGTTTGCTTCACCCCTTACTATCTATCCCATTTCATGTTCTGCCATCCATTTACACAAGCTTGTTAGAAAGGTTGGTCAGTGCTTTTTTTTTTTTTTTTTTTTTTTTTCTGTTCCTCTTTCCTTCAATATCGTATATTAGTTTCCAATTATCCAAGCCCTTCCCTTCATGTATCCCAAAAATTTCAAATCTGTGATTTTTTTTTTTTTTTTTTTCAGTAGAAGTTTTCAGTTTATTCCATTTTCCTTCATTGTTCCCATTTTTTTTATTCATGGTTTTCTTGGCATCCTTATGTAGAATCAATTTTCTGTTGCCTCAAGTTTTCACTTCTTTGAAGAAATTGTCCAGCATTCACTGCTATGGAAAGGTGATGAAAAAGCATCAACCATCAATTCAAAGGAATGGTACATCTATTTTTATTTTTTTTTTTTTTTATTTTTATTTGAATGTTAATGTTTTAATTTTGCATTGATTTCATGAACACCAGCTGATATTCCTTTTGTTTTTTATTTTATTTTACTTTGACTAAAATAAATTGCAAAATAACTGCTTCTAGGATGTTTTTTTTTTTCTTATTACAATAATATTCACTTTATACAATGCCTAAGAGCCACTTGAAGTAGTTTTACAGGTTAAGATTGTAGTGATCAGGAAGTATCCTCTTGGAAGTCTGTTCCACAAAGTAGCAGCAGTTCTTCATGAGATGAAATTTAGTGGAACTTGAATCTCACCAATGGAATGCAAAGGGAAATGAGGGTGGTTTGTTACAAAGTGTGTGCCATAGTGAATCCTAGCTGTGAAGGTTATATCCTGGTATCAGTACAAAATACCAGTCATAACTTATAACTATAGCCTAGTCTGCTTGTAAATAATATAAAAGGAAATTATAAGGTAGTTACTATTAAACTTTTAAGGTTTTTATCAGAAAAGGATTCTTGTTAATATGAAATGAATGTCTCATTGTTTTAATAACCTGATCAACACATTTTAAATTATTAACAAATAGCTTATAGCATTTGTTTTCCTTAGCCTTTAGGCATTAAATATGAATCTAGACTTGTATTTTGTAATATTTGCCAGTTGCCATGCTTAATTGTTAAGCTGCTATTGTGGTATAAAAATCACAAATGTATTGATTAGCATTTAACTCTTTATGCAGTAATGAAAATTTATTAGGTTGAGTCATAAGTAATTTCCGTTTTTGAGAACCAATTGTAATGATGAATGTATCGTCTTAACTACTAATTATGCAGAACTTTTAGTGTTAAAGCAGCAGGACTTGATGACATTTCTTCTGGAGGTTTGGAAGATCCAGAATTTCAACAATATTCTGTTTCAACTCTGTAAGACCACATATAATGGAGAAGTTATAAAAAGATGAACAGAAGGCTGCATACTTCCTTTTCCAATGAAAGATCTCGGATCACCAAAAAAAATTAGAGAAATCACACCTGCCTCTATTGTGGCAAAAATTTACAACTCAATACTTCCCAACAGAATATACCCTGAAGTAGAGAAGGTGCTTCTGATTAATAACACAAAATAGCTTTCAAAAAAAAATTAAATTGTTGGAAAAATCCTGACTCCAGCAAGTTATTGAGGACATCAGGGCAAAGAATCTACTTTTGTAGATTTCTCTAAAGCCTTTGATTTTGTTCATAGGAGAAAACGAGATTCTTTTGGCATATGACATCCCCTCTGATACAATAGCTACTATAATTATGCTATACCAAATCTTTAGTTAGATCCCCAGACAGAGACATTAGCTTGTTCATCATTAAAGCAGGGATCCTTCAGCATGACATTCTTGCACCTTTTCTCTTTATCACCCTTGATAATGTATTGAGAACTTTGCTTGATAGGATTTAATTTATCACTAAGACTCAAGTTGATATCTTTCAAAAAGTTGACTGATACTGGCTATGCAGATGACCAAGCTATCACTGCAGACACCATTACCAATGCTACAAAAATTGAATTGACATTCATTTGTTTTCTGAATGTTTTCAAAAACCAAATAGTGAATGTGAGCATGATTAAATGGTTGGTAATGTTTCAGCACTGGTAACAATGATGTGTGTGACAAGTCATGTTCTGGGTGACCCTGCATGTCTGTCAACACCAAAAAAAGTGAAGAGTACTCAAAAATGCATCACTAATGGTGATGACTGGAAAAAATGTTTTGTTGCTGAAAATTTGATATTAATGTGCTCTCTGTATCTGTTGTATTTCCATGTAAATAAGGTCTTACTTTGGGAGCATGTAGATGACTTAGTATTTTATCAAGTTATTGAATTTTTCTGGACACATTCTTGGAACTTGTTTTGTATTTCTTAATGGTTAAAGCAATAATACAATATCTCTAGAAATACTTATCTACAATTTTAGAATACTAGAGTTTTTTTTTTTTTTTGTTTGAACACTTTAGCATGTTCAAATCCTCACGGTATCTAATATTATTGAGTAAATCACAAAGATTTACAAATTCTACATTTCGTTCGATTTTGCAAACCAATCGATGAAATTTGAATAAACTGATTTGTTTGGAAAAATACTTAGACAAAAATGCTACTTTGCATTTAATATTTTCTTAATTTTACAGGACTTCATGGTAAACAATATTTCTTTAAGAATTTTTTTCCTTTTTAATAGCGAAGAATAAATTCTGAATTTCTTATTCTTGAGTAAACAGCATACAAATTGTCATGTATAAATATTTTTTTCTGTAGACAAATTCCAACTGTTTTGAGCATTTGGCCTTGATTTGTTTATAGCTCTTGCAGGACAACCTGGAAACTGAGATTTTGTATATATAAAAACTTAAGATATGCAAAAAAAAAAACAAAAACAATATTGCATTTTTATTAAATATGTATTTCAATCATTAAATTGTTTTTAAGATAGTAGGAGTATTCTGTATGTTAAAACTTTCTTAATTTTTCAAAAACGATTTAATAAATTTATTGTACTAAGCTACACATCCTAGTAAAAACAACTGTATTTTGTACCCCCTTGCCTGGTTCCACTTCTCTGAAAAAACGTTTTTGACTGGTCAGTGTATAACTATTTTTAGATGGTGTAATGGATGGACTAATGGAACTCGCAGAATTTTATAGATAGACTGACTATAAAGCTTTGTTGATTTGATATTGCTTGACTTAGTTTTAATCATATTTCTTGAAAGTTGGGTTGGTTAATTTTTCAATTTTCTTTGGATGTTTTTTTTTTTCTTTTCCATCCTATTGTAGAGCTATTTAAAATGATCTTACAATCAGTATTCTTTGTTTTTTAATGAGGTATATGTTCTTTTACAATGTTATCAAATCAGGTGTACAAATAAATGCTGCATATTTTAAAACCAATAGATTTCAAAACCCAAA